CTTTCTTTCCTTTAATGGGGCACTGGCCTGGGGCGCCGAACCTGCTCCCTCTGGAGCAACACACATACACTGATCATGCATTACAGAGACTCCTGCATGCCCTTGCACATGGTGCGATACACACACACACAGAAAGGGAGAAGCAGGGGAAACCGCAGCCCCCCAAATTATGCCCCAGTCTGCGAGATGATGAATCTGGTTGGTGATTAGTTAGTAGAGGAGGGAGGCACACTGCATAGGCTCTTTAATGGGCCATAATTTGGGAAGATAACTGTATTGTCCTATCTCTCTTGACATTTAAATCTAATCAGACCCTGCTGGTTAGCACTTTGGTCCAAGACAAGAGGGAGCCTGGGAGGGATAAAAGGCAGCGGAGAAGCATTGGCCCATAGTGGGTCATTGATCCCTGTAGGGCAAGGCTAAGCAATTAGAAAACAAGACCAAGAGAAACATTATTTCATGCATTCCCTCATTTATGTGTTTATTACTTTTGCTTTGTTTTGCTTAACTATCACCACACAGAATGCTGAATTCAGTATATTCTAAGGGATGTATATAAAGTCCCGTTTTCTTCCATACGCACATGATTATGTGTACACAAGCACCACTAGTGAGCCACTCCAAGGCCTCTTTTGTGCTCTTTATTACCACAGATGAGATGCTCAGTTTGATTAAGACTTCTCTTTTATCCTCTTCATTAGCAGAGGAAAGCCACGGTAGCAGCCGTGGCCCATGTAAAGAGGGGCATGAATTAGAATCCACTTATTCCATAGACTGCCACTAATTCCACTCAATGGCGGTTAATGGCAGGGAGTAATAGGAAAAGGGTGTTTCTAATTGTGTCTTTGGATAGGGCAGCGTGTGCTGAACAGCTGTTTCGGTGAAGTAGGCTCCTCAAAGAGGCCGAAGTCCAGCGACAGCATTGGAGGGCCCGCACAACTCCGTTCGATCGAGCTCACCAGCAATAAATGCTCGTAGACGAGCCAATTTCCTCTTGCGGAGCATCCTGCAGAGTGGAGGAGCGGGGCCTCAGTCAATGAGAACCACCTGGTGCTGAGGGAATGTGATTAGGCTTGGCACTGCTGTGAGCGAAGAGCTGTTTTGTTAAGGCGGATTGAGATGCAGGAAGGGGGGGGATCTCGCCTGAGTTTGGTTTGCTGGAGAAATATTGACATTAGGTTTTTGTCAGAGCGAGATCTGAGGCACAATGTTGTTTTGTTGGTGCGCAATTAGAGGGAATTATTTTGGTGGCAGCATGTGTTTCACGTTTTGATCTCTGTACCGATTGTCGACTCGATTGGAGCGTGGGACACGCCACAACAATGGGGTTGTGGATTCAGCTCCCACACAGACTACACGCATACCAACTTAGAAGTCAGAATAGTTGCGCAAGTGGCTAACCATACGGAAGATTAATGCTTTTTTTCTGCACTGATGGGAATTTTATTGCAACCTCAAAAATGTCTGGAAATCCACAGAGAATGGCGATAATCTTTGCATGGCAAGATTTAGCTGTCGCATGGCCCACCCATGCTACAGCTACAACCAACGGCATTCATTGGACTTTGTCACAGCGCATCACTATAACAAATAAGCCTTCAGAATAGCCTTGTTCTATTTAAGCTAGCCTCAGATAGATGATCACAAACTTTCCTTGTGTTGTTGGGTTGTTTATGATCATTAGTGATGACTTAGACCTTACAAGGTTTAATAAAAAATTTCTTGCTGTGGCCAGCTATCATCACATCTCCTGAGTTTATCTGGCTTACCTGGAGGTGTGTTCTAAAACAGTCTGCCTGTGTTTCTTGTTTTTGCTGACTTTTCGTTTGTTGTTGTTGTTTTTTTTTTAAAATCATGTGACCATATTCTTAGCTGTCAGCAATAAATTGTGTGACTACTGTGTTATTATTACCCACAGAAATGGCAGGCAAAACTATGAAGAGGGCTGTACCTCCGGGCTGCTGCACCATTCATCTGAAGCCTTGTTCCTTTTGATGCGTATTTAATTTATTTGACCTTTTAATTTAACCAGACATGTCGGACCTTTCCCAAGATTCGGTTTTCACTTGTAAGAAACCGTCGCTGTGTGTGTGTGTGTGTGTGTGTGTGTGTGGTGTGCTTTTTGTGCGCCTTCCCACAGGGGTTATCACAGTTGAGTGAATGTTGGCTTGCAGACAGTAGCTCTGATCACATTTGATGATGGAAACGCATACCACTGAGGATTGTGTTTTTGTCTCTGTGTGTGTGTTTATATATACAAAGGAGATTGTGGAGGTGATGATAGCCCTGCCAGTGTCTGTAGAGGGTATTAATCTCACTGTTTATGCATGTTTGTCTTTTATCTGTTCTTCTGCTGAGTCTTCAGCTCTACATTCCCAGCGTTTATGATGTTTTTCCACCTCAAAGCCATTTTTTCCCTCTTAATACATCTGTTTGTGTGTTTGTTTTTTAAAGAAATCTCAGTGTCATCCCTTTTTCCTCCATTTTTTTTTTCTTTATGGCCTGTTCGCTCATCCTCCTCTGCTGTTGCCCTTGTTGCCCCTCTCTTTCTGTTCATCTTTTAATCTCCACTCATCTCTCCCCAGTCTGGATCTTGGCATTTAGGCCTCTAATTGAGCTGGCATCCCTTGAATACTTCATGGAAAAGAACAACAGAGAATCCCACCATTGTTTTCTGTACCCTGTGTTCAGACACAGAATGCAGGGCCAGTCTGTCTGGGTAAGAGAGAGAGAGCGTTTACAACAGAAGGGGGGGGCAAATAAAAAAAAAAAAATTAAAAGATTTTTCAGTTTCATAAATGTGCATTGCCTGAATTGACTGTCTGTACATTTAGGAGTTGATTGCATGAAGACAGCTGATAGTGTTTTTACCAATATAAGAGTCAGTGTGACAAAGTAGCTCATGGCATGGAACCATAAATGCACCGGCCTCGAGAATACAGTCAGTCATGATTAAGAAATTAAACCTGGAACTTATCCTCTT